ACTATGCACCATGTGACACTGTACACCACTTCCATGAAAAACCACCATTTATTGCCGTCCCTCTAATAATTCTCTCTCTCTCTCTCTTCCCTCATTTTCCCAATATTTCCTTAACCCTCCTCCTATTTTCCCTCACACCATAATTATAATTCCATAAATGGTCCCCAATACACGTAATATGGAATAGGGAAAACTGGCCGTTTCTATAATTATACACCCAGAAAAAACAAGGGTCATTCATGCACATGACATGGAAAATGAGAAACTATCAAACCCTTCGCATCACTTCAGCATCAGATCCAACAAACTTATAACGTTCCATCCGCTCCAACATATAAATCACTCTAACTAATTTGTTGTAATCCTCCTATCCTTAATATAAGATCTAATTATTAAGTCATTTTTTGTCTTAAATATAAGACTTATTTCTCATATTTATCAATTTTTCCTAAATTATCCCTATAGATACTCTCTTAATCATAATCAAGTAGGTGACAGAAGAAGAATATTAAGAAAGATGATTATAGTGTTTTAGAAAAAACATGTCATATTTTTTTTTATAATTAACTAACTCACCTAACTTCTTTGATCTAATCAAATTAGTTAAATAGATTTTATATTAAAGACCAGAAGAGTAATTAAAAATGGTGGTTGCCTCTTTAAGTCGTTAAATATATCTCAAATTTTAATTTCCCCCCACTTTACCCATATCAAATGGGATTGTGGAGGAGAGAAAGGTATAAATAATCCCATCTCCGAATGACTGCTATTTTGGATCAAGTATATTGTATACTGCAGAGAATAATTTTTTTTTTAAGGCACAAGTATCCTCTCGTTTGGTATAATCTTGTTAGACGTATGATTTATTACTAAATATGAACATCTCTTCTAGTATAAATTTAAATCTTAATTCATTACGTCATGAGAAATTAGCTCTTTTTAGCTTTTATCATTATGAGAAATTAGTTCTTTTTAGTTTTTATTAGACTCAACCTTGTTGTTCTGTAGCGAGTAAATTTTTTTTTTTGGGATACTGAAGCAGGCTAGAAGCCCAAATTACATAATGCTGTAGGGAGTAGTTTGTAAATAAACATGATTTAAATTCACATTGGGTCCAGTAATATACATCAGATCCGTGGAGGATATTGGGCCCATTTTTTCTGCCAACAAAGGTCAAGCCCATAGAGTTGGAGTAACTAAGTAGACGACGAGCTTGCAGTATTTCCTGGACGACTAAAAAATAAACAAAAGCACTGGAATGAGGCCCAGTAATGAAGAGGAAAAGCCCCTCAACTTACACAGTCATCAAACTCAACGGGCGTTATTTAATTAAAAAGACTAATTTCTCGTAACGTAATGATTTAACATCTAAATTTATATTAAAAGAGGTGTTTACATTTAATGTCCAAAATATGCTGATAATTAAAAGTTCCTGCTTGAAAACTACTCCTCCAGTCTTTAATATAGGACTCAATTGTTGAGTTAGTTTTAGTCCTAAATATAAGACTCATTTTTCATATTTATTAATTTTCTCTAAATTACCCCAATAGATACTCCCTCAACCATAATCAAGTAGAAGAGGAAGATGGGGTATTAAGAAAGATGATTATGGTATTTTAGGAAAAAACGTGTTACATTTCTTATAATTAACTAACTTACCTAATTTTTTTAATCTAATCAAATTAGTTAAACGAGTCTTATATTAAGGATTGGAGGAGTATATAGCACAGTTGGGAAAAAAAAACTGTATTGAACGGATGAAACCTAGATTTAGGTATTGTTTATTGGTAAGATGGGTGAGGAATATGGAATTGAAAGTTTGGGTGGTGAGGAAGGCAGTGTGAATGTGTCTGTGATAAATATGTTTCTTTTTCATAGTGGGAAGCTCCACACACTTTGCATCTTCCACAATCATGCCACTTATGAGTAGACAAGCACATTACCATTTTAAAATTCTCGTAGATCACATCAGAATCAGGTTAAACATCTACCTTCAGATAACGATGTAACCATTATGGATTTTCATAAACTCGCCAAAAGAAAAAGAAAAAAAGAGGGTACTTATTATTTTCATAAACCTTAAGATCTTTACTTCCTATCAAAACCAATCAACAATCTGCAGATGGGAATTCTTTTTGTGCGTATCATCCAATTTTGATAGTCCAACATTGGCAAACAAAATTGATCGTCCAACTAAAATATATATTAATTTCTTCTCTGTAGCTTCTTTAACGACAAGCTTAAATTATCTCGAAATGGATTTAGTCCTGAGTTCAGCGGCAATTTATAAACCCCCCCCCCCCAAAAAAAACCGTAAACCATAAATCCATTTAAATGACAAGCACAACTATCAAATTATAGTCTGAAATATGCACGTGCACTGTTCTATCACAGGAGTCGTAAGACACACAACGCAACCATCAAAAGCATTAATATATAAGGCCACTAAAATTGTCGAACCATATGAATCACCAAAGTCCACACTGAATGGACTACCACTACAATGTTAATTAACCCCTCAATTAGCTCTAGATTAATCATGTATCGCAGAATTCACTTGGTGAAGGCAAAAAGAAAGAAAGAAAGACACAGGTAGCTAATATTTACAACAGGAATAAACGCAATGAAATGTATGTTTAAATCGAAAGCGAATTGATGTTTTAAACATCATAATAATGCACATATTATTCTGTAATTTAAAATTTTTATAAACATGCAAATTTGTTTATAAGTCCTTGTATAAATAACAACGAGACAGATGAGATGAGCTAAGACAAGAAAATATCTTGCCTGATATTATTTTGTTTCATTATAGAGTACATAAATTGTCCATTCCTATTGTGTGAGGATAAGAAAGACAGATCTCACACACACCCGCCCCCCTGGTAAACTATAAAATGTTTTCATTGCAGAGTATTAGCATAAAGTATTAAAAATAGGCCACTTCTTATGATAGTTTAACAATTTATAGACTCTATTTTAGATTTTTGAATGAAATGAATTAAAATCTTACTAGGTGTCTACATCTACATACACCCTGGATGATTTCATCATCACATAGGGATCATTTCAATTTCATAATCTAACATATAGGAATTTTAGATGGGAAAATTTAATATTGACCCCCTGGAGCATATGATAATGAACTGCATGATATATCATAGAAATTGGTCCACAAGACTCAGGTCAGTTAATATATTTATACAAACCCCAATTTTTTCGTAGAATTTCTATCAATGTAAACAAAAAAGAGACAATATATAAACTGCTCTTGTTAATGAATTTAAATATTTGTTCCTTGATATTTTCAGGGGGACAAAAAACTGACCTCATTAAACCTAAAAGTTAGTGAAATGAGGCATGTACTGGCATTCAATGATCAATAATACAAGTTGGGACATTTGTTTTGCTTATGTGTTGTATTTTGGAATTGACATTTACCAGATTCACTTATAATAACATATACCTGAAAATTCGTTCATCCTTAGCTCCATCTGAAGCCTAACATCCCTTTTGCTTTTGCTTACAGCAACTTACATGGAAAATACCTTCGGACCTGTTCAAAATATCTTTGAACCCCAACCATGTTCCTTTCCTATCTATCTTTTCTTTGAAATACTATCTATAACCCTCAAGTGTCATTCATAAATATCTGCCTTAGCATATTCTATTTGTCGTGCGATAAATAAATCCATGCTTGTGGCTTCAGTAGTTTGCATCGCTATATGGGAATTCCAAGGTATGTGTGTATATGTTGGCTTCTAATTAATTTATCTTAATGTGATCTTTACATTTCTTCTTCTGAAATCACAAGCTGATGCAAATTAAGAGCTTTAATCAGTGTTCACGACCCCCTCTCCTTCATGTTATAGGAAAGCCCAAGTTATAGGTAGCTTAGAATAACCTTAATGTTTCTAAATTTGATTGGTTCTGGTAATCAAGTGCTTTGACCGATCATTAGAGATGATCCAATATTTTCCCCTTGATCGAGTTTGAGTTATTATGGCTCGAATCAACTTTAATTTATTAGTAAGCAAGAGATGCAGGGTGTCTTTATTCCAACAACCAACACGATTAGACATTTGCACTGTTGAATTGATCTCAAACATCAACAACTACATTGTGTTATTAGGGAAGATACTAAAACCAGTTATTGCCTTAATAAGCAGGCACAGAGAGAGAGAGAGAGAGAGGGTGCGTGTTAAAGAGATATTTGAAAATCGCTGTTGACATATTAAGTTTGCTTATCCAGATAAAATGCACTATATTTATTTATTTGCATATACAAGGCCTTCAATAATTCTAGCTAGGCTAAAGCTCTTAATAACTTTTTTATTAATTTATGCAGGTTACAGTACTGTCTCATAATACTTGTTAATATGCATGACATAGTAAAAGTGATTGAATTAACGAGATCCGTGCAAAGAGGTATTGGCTAATTAATTAACAATTCAGAAAGGTTTGGCCTAAACCCAAAATAAAAATAATATTGGAGAGCACGGGCAAGTGAATAAGTAGTGGAGGTTGTTATAGTGGAAATTGCGGCCTCAAATTAACAAGAATCTGCTAGAATTAAATCAAGATCAGCATCCCATGAAAATGATACAGAATATAAAGTAAAATATATTGCATTCAATCATGAATCAACTTGATCGATCCTCGTTCTTGCCCAGAACTGCTTGATCCCCCCCAAACTAATTAACAAACCCAGAACTTGATTAACTAACTCTTAAACTTACACAACTAAGGTCGAAAACAAGATTCACAATTAACACAACGAGACGAGCTGTTTCCAATCATCCCGCCAGCATATCAGTAGTAATTTCTTGCACGCCTCATAGCGAAACGAATGTCTCCGACCTGGGATTTTCTTCTTCTATCACAGATATATAGCCCGAAACCAGATATGTAATCAAGCATATATGGAAATCAAATAAAATATTATATATAAGATGGAAGGAAGCTCCAAAGTTTTAGGGTACTCAAATCCCATCAGTTAATTAATTTGAAGGAAGTGAAGAGGACTCATCAGTAGCGTCCACCAATCTCTTGTGGAAGTTTCTGTGGCATCCACAGGCAGCACACGTAAGAGCAGCATTTGTGTCCTCGCCGCTGGCTATGAATTCTCGGCAACCGTCAACGGCGTATCCGCCGGAATTAGCCGCATGATTCTTCTGACACTCCCCATATCTCACACTTCCGCTTGAACCTCTTCCACCTTCAGTTTTTCTCACTACTAATACTTGACGCTTCATTCTAAACCTGACCTAACCCTCAATTTCTTCTCTACTAATCCCCTCTCTTTCAATCACTCCAAATGCTACTTATATACATGTCAAAATCCTTTTACTGGCTTGGTTAAAAATCGGCATAGAAATATAAAGGGAGAAAGATAGAGAGAGAAAAGGGTGGAAGTGGGGTGCACAGCTTTCCAGTTTTCACTCTGTGATGGTAATCCAAGCCCTAACCCTAGTATATGTATTTATAAAAGCCAAACCCTATAGTTCTTCTCAATATTCATTTGAATTTGGATCTTCTCAATATTCAAATTATTAGATATGAACAGTTCATTAAAGGCTTTTTTAAATCCTGGTAATTACCAATAAGATTTTCGTGCGCTTAATTGCTGTGGGTGATCACAACTAAACTAATTGTATCTAGGACAAAATAATACCGGAAAAAAAAAGATTTAGGTATGTATTCCTTCGGCCCTGAATATAAGACCTTTATACACACTATATAAGGGTCTTATACTGGAGGAGTATTAATTAAGAAAAACCTTCATTAATATCATGATGGGTTTAATTTGGAAAGCTTTTATCTTTTCACCTAAATAGTGATGGGTTCATCGGGCCAAATTGACTAGACAACTAAAACTAATAAATTAGGTTAATTCTATTTAGAAAGAATTGAATGATTCAACCAATTAATAAGCTGGGTTTAATGGTTCGCGTACAGTGGCCCCCTAACATGATAGTACGTAAAGGCAATTTTGTGGGGGTCACTGGTGCAAAATCAACAACACTTTGTCTATAACGCTTGGCCTGAAAACTGGTATATATAGTTAACTTTGCAATATACGACAAAATGACTCCGTTCTTTTTGCATCTGAATTAGGATTTGTGAATACATGTAGATATGTACAGCTCTCTGTATTCGCAAAAGTTTTATTCTTTGCCATATAAAAGGACCTTATTTGTTCTGCTTAACTAGAAATTTTGCACAATGATTAATAAATGGACGCAAGTAATTAAACGTTGATTCGATGGATCACTTTGATTAGAAACGCATATTGTGATGCCTAAAATGGCATAAGGAAGTGATGCATGTATGTATATGCTCATTTCCCACACGCACACGCACACGCACACGCACAGTTAAGTTCTCTGTGGTCTCTTAAGATTTAACGCAAAAAATCCCAACTGCTCTTCTAAGTTTGATCATGTATAGGTAAAGCTGGTAAATATGTGAGACAAAATTAAGGTGTCCGAGTTTGAAATATAAAACTCTATTGCTATTTATAAATCACCTGAACGGAAAAATTTTGTTCCTCAATATAAGTTATTTGTGGAGTAATAAGCTTGTTCTCATTTTACCCATGTTGACTAATAAATACACAGAGAGATAAAGTAAATAGGTGGGTAGAAAATAGAAAACATATTTTTAATATTCTTTCTTTACTAAGGGCAAAAGGTGGAAAAATTATAAATTTAATGCATTTCTTAGTTTATGGGCTTAGAGTACAAGTGAGTTATAAATAAGTATAGAGTAGCATGAGATTAATTATTATGCATGCTTCATTTTCAATGTGTCATTGGAGCTTCATTAATTCTTTTCTTTTCTTTTTCTGGGTGTTGCATGTTCATCAACAAGGCGCCATTAATTCAGTTGTTATAATTTGTTTTTTCACTGTTACGGCCTAGTATCTTCAATTTCAGTCAGGAGAAAAGGTAATCTTTAATTGTTAGCTTGAAAATTAATCAAATATAAGATTATGATTGATAAATGTGAAAACTTTAAGGAAATAGATTTATAAAAATAAGAATAAATATATGTTAACGACGCAATAAAATTAGAGCTTAAATTTTCAAGTTACTTTTTTTTTTGTTATTAAGTTCTTTAAACAAACTTGTTCTAGGAACTTGGGAAGCTAGACTTGCTTTCTTTTATTTCTTTTCTTTTTTTCCTAGAAGCTTTCAGAGGAGATTATAAATCCAGTCTTCTAACACAAAATATTGGTTAATTATCTCATGGAAAGTATATAATATGTGCATATCTCCTTCTCTTTCTATATTCGATATAACTTTTTTAACTATTTTTTTTCGCTTATTTGAATGGAATGATCAGACATCATGAAAACACGACGCAGAATCATTAAACATCCTTCTTCTGGCAAATCTACCAGATGCACCTCTGATTTTTTTAAGGCTAAATTACATACTTTGTTCTTTAAGTTTCTACAAAATTTGAGTTTGCTAGTCATTTAACCTTAAAATTATTAATCTTAATATTTTTTTAATAATCATTATTATTTTAAAAATTAAAATTAATATGTTAGCATTTGAGAATGTTTTACTAACATTCAATATATTAGTATTATCATTTTTTTTATTAAGAGACCAAACTAAAATTTTGTATAAAGTTAAAAGACTAAAAATATATTTTAGCATGCTTTTTTAATTTCCATTTTCCACCCTTTTCCACTCGGCCACCCTTCATTTATACTCCACCAAGCACACTCAAATTTGACGTATTCAGCACAGACACACGCTTACGCCTATATGCAAAACTGGATATGCATGTAAAGAAGATTTTGTAAAATATTGAGTGATGTGGTAAAGTTAATTTAATATAGGCTTTTATTACTTAAATGCACAGCCTAATTAGACTAGTATAGGCGATAGATGTGTGCGAATTAATAAGATAAACTAATTAAGCTCGCAATGTTAATCTGTTTTAATTTTACGTATGAAAGGGCTTGATACATACATATGGCAATTGCGCACACGCACGGACTTATTAAGGTTCTTTGTTCTCGGTTTAAATAGATATTGAAGTAAATTAAGGCCTCTTTTTTTTATCATAAAATTGAGGCCTCTGATTCCATAGATTAAATTCTGATGAAGTGGACTTCTGGCAAAAAATTTATCAATACCATTATCAATAAATTTAATATACAAATATATGCCAAAAAATTATTATAAGCCACACAATTACAATTATAAACAGTGAAATTCTTTCTAGTGAAATTAAAATTCTTTTTTTTTCCACTGCATCGATATTCATAAAAAACATGCGCAGGTTGATTTGTACTTTGTAATGTAGAATGCGGAGACCATTTAATTTATTAGTTGGTGGGGTTTGCTCAGTACGCAGTGTACTGTTTTACAGTGATAGAAACTTGGCGGTAATACGAGGGGCCTACGAATATAGAGAGATGATTCAAAAGGGAGGTTGATTAAGATGGATTATTGAGGTAATTAGGACTAATGATGGCATTTCAGAAAGATAAAGAGAGATGAAATCTCCTGCTTCTCAACTACCCAACCCATATTGTGGAAGTCACAGTAAAAGGGCTTAATGGGTTATGATTTTTGGGGTCACATTAAAGCATCTTTTAATTAAAGTCTCTGCTTAATTAATCACAATTTTTGCTTTACTAATCAGATCCTGGTAGCCACCCACAAAAGATGCGCAATTATTAATTGAATTAAGAGTCATATAGTACTGGGAGAAATTATATATACGAGTTCTCTTGGATTCTCATCCCTGACGTAGGCATGATCGGAAGCTTAAATGGGTCAGAAAAAAATACCAACTATGAAGCAGACGTAAGGGTCCTGTGGGTATAGAGGCATTGTGCCCTAAATGATGCAACATGCCTTTCTTGCTTGGGACCACAGCATGGGCAGTGTGTGTGTGTGTATATCCCACTCTATTCCAAACTTCTTATTAATTTCGCAACTTTGTAGGAAATTATTTTCTTGCCAGAATTAAATGCAAAAAGTTATTGTTATATTGCAAGCCCCCCCCCCCCAAAAAAAACATAGGAGAGTTTCAAATATTTAGATTTGTTTCCATCAGAATTTGTAATTATTGGAAGGTGTGTGTGAGGAATATGATGATAAAAAGTTGCATTGCCCTGCTTCTCCTTTTTCCGTTGTCTACCAAGAACAATGCTATATCCCGTTTGATTTCCGTATATATGAGAAATATATTCCCTTTTTATTATATAAAAAAATAGAAAAGCAGTATTTATCATATTTTATTATTTATATTGGACATCAATATATCATGTTTATATACTATTTCACTTTGTTTTTCGTCTCAGCTTACAAAGGCTTTGATGTCTTTACTACTTTTGTTTGACTGTCGCAATTAAATATTTTTGCTTATATATTGTGTAAATACGTCATAAATCATATTGTTTCCTACAAAGAAGAATATATATGAAAATCAACCCAAAAACAATATAATTATCGATGAAAAAGAACGAACAATTATCAATTTATTCAGGAAATTATCAATGATAAAGTTTTCTTATTTTCTTTAAATAAAGAGAGTATATTAATTGTTCAATGTTGCTATGGTTGGATCACCAATCTTATAATGGTTATTAGATCACTACTACAAAATATTTGTTTTGTAGGGCACATTTTATAGCGCTTATTTAACAAAATGTAGCACATTGTTTAATTAACTTTTAAAACAAAAATACCTTCCGTAACACTTTCTTAGGGAAGTGCTACAGAAATATACATTTTCTGTAACACTTTCTTAAGAAAATGCTACAAGATGTTATGTTTCCGGTAACTTTGTTGAGAAAGTGCTACAAGAAGTATGCCTCACATAACGCTTTCTCAAGAAAGCACTATAACATATTAACTTATTTAAAAAATTTTTAAAAATATTTTGTAGCACTTTAAAAAGTGTTACAACTTATTCACGATGCCTTCCATAGTAGAATTCTCAAATCTAACTTTTTATGTAGTAGTGGAGTATCTTTGAAGGAAAATAAAAATATTATGCAAAGTGATTACTTAATTTGTTGGGATTAGGTTTTACTGTTCTGGTTCTAAATATAAGATCCACTACAAAATATGCATTATATTTAGGATTAGAGGAGTATTACATAGAATAAGCAATTCATTTGATCCAAATTGTTTCCATAATGTGTGTCTAATGGACTTAAACTTTTGGGTTTGAATTTATAGTATTTGTGTTAAAATATCATATATCTAAAATATTTTAGTCCAGTCTAGGGTGCTCAAATTCTAAAAACAGGGGGTGCAATAATTAATAATCTACAGACTATATATGCAACTTTCCTCTCGGGAGCGTTTGCATTGGTCTAAAGTGTTCAAAATCTCAGTGCATGCCTGGCCATTGACTAGCTATTGTAAATTAATATTGGGCAATATGTGGGCAATGAATCTCGTAGATTACTGTTGTTTTATACCACATCATGTTCTTAATATAAGATATTATTTGATTTTTATTTTGGTTCTAAATATAAAATTACAATCTATCTTTCGTATTTATATATATTTTAAGATAGTTCTTATAATAATAATAGTTCTATCAAATATACATAATCAGTGAAATATTTCAAGAAAAATAATATTTATTTATTACAAATAACTAAGTTAATTTATTTTTTTAATTTTTTTAAATCAATTAACTAGTTCAAATATTTAGTACGGAGGCAGTATTATTAAAAGGGCACCTTCGGATGATGGGGATAATTAACATGGGCTGTCCATGATTGGCCCCACATGTTGATGTTATTGGGAGGCGGGCGTATGGAATAATCCAGTGTTTAGGGCGATAACACGGGACAATCCAGAGATCCCATTTACCCTTTATTTTCCGCGTTATTCTTCCTCTGTGTCAAAAAGAAAAAAGGGAAGCAAATAGTCATCGATTAATTAATTCTACGACCAGACCTGTTACATTTTCCTTCTCTCTTTCACTGAGATTAATTAATTCTCGTCACCTAACTTCGACCGTGTCAAAGTTACTGTGAGCCTCCTCTTCTACTGTTTGTTTTCTGCCGTTTTACATGATATTGGTACCAACTCATCATCATGTCATTCTGAGCAGCATTTTCACATGTTCTGGTTTCTGAGATTTCTAGAAGCACGTCTTTTTGATTGACTCATTTAAAGTTTTTAATTCACACCCAGTACTGTAGAAGCAACTAAATAGTTAACTTTTCCAGAAGCAAAACCAATTAAACGAGCTAATTTACTTATTATTCATTGCTGGCGTGCGTGGCCTATAACACACACATATGTAGACCAAATGATAAGCCCTCAATCCTCATAATCATGCCTATGTATTTGGGTCAAATAAGTGAATGAAAAACGAGGCAATATTATTCAATGTGCCCTATCAGGTAATAATTAAATCCAATATATCTCATCATACATCAAGGACATGATCTGTCTTTCTTCCAAGCATAAATTTTGAATGAGCCCTATGATTTCACGCCTGCTGGTTTTCAATAACCCACTTGCACACACTTGCAGAATTTCTGTTAACACCTGCGATATGTATAATACTATTTAAAAGATTGCTACTGGTGTGTGTGTGTGTGTATATGTGTATAAATAGATATGAGATTGCGTGCGGTGAAATGTGTGTTTATTTGTATGCATGTGTCTATATGCAGTCCACATGGAGCACTTAATGCGGAATGAAATGGGCTCAGAAGGTCATGTTTGGGAGGCACATGTTCTGCCTTCAACAACTCAATTATCTCTGTGGTTGGTAGCTAACAAGTGCCTTTCTATGTCTATACTATATATATAGTTTCCCTTTCCATATGGGTATGCTGGATTGGGCATGCGAAATAACATCCAATGCTGGCATTGTCAAAATCAACAACATAACTTTGCTACTTCTGCACGTCAGTGACATATGTATATTAATTATATATAGAGCCAGTAGCTCCACTGAGACGACGGAGGACCTTCAAATTAAAATCAATGATGCTTAAAAGACTTTTAATTTAAAATTTCATGATATTATTCTTATATGTCCTTGAGATCAGATGCTTGTGTGTGTGTGTATATATATATATATATATATATATGTAGGTTTAGTTAATCTTCTGCATCACGTACGCCAAAATGCAATTTTAAAAGGACCTCAGAAAATGGGTGACTCAGAAATTAAAATGCATCACATGTACATTTATGACTGATAATTAGTGTATATCTCATACAGCTGTCATAAAAATGAGAGGGAGAGGGATCTTGTGATGTTATATATTGTTCTTTATACTTTTTTTTAATATGTATCATTTATGAGAGATGGACTATACATCCTGTAAAGTTCAATTTTTTCAAGTTGATTTCTTATTTTGGTTGATATGCTTAGCTGTAAGAGTGAATAATTTCCAGGTCGTGATGTAACCAACATTAATACATCGTCCACACAAATTTAATTTTTGTCTTCTTTTTCCCCCTCTTTCCCTTACGGGAAAGCCCACCCAAAATGCAACATGCATTAATTCCCATCTCCAATTAATTTCTACACGTTTCTTATCGAATCAAATTTTATTTGCATTCAACGTACCGGCCGTTCAGCCAGTTCTAAATTTTTTTAGCATCGATGCTACAAAAACAGTTAATTTTAAATAAGCTAGCCGCTAATAATGAATTACTTGGGCTGTGCTTTTAACCCTTTTTATGAGTCTTTGATTTTGTTTTGACGCGCTTTAATCTCTGCGTATGTGTCGTTGATTTTGCTTTCAGTTTTTTCTCCCCAGAGTTTAAGAAGAATTAGATCCTTTAAAAATTGTTTCATATGAAATGTTTATCATTCCTTGTAATAAAAAGCTTCGTTAAATTTTGACACTAGCTGCAAACGAAACTAGGCGTACGTGCGACGTGCAAGTATTTATTTACTAAGGGCTTGTTTAGGACACATTTACTCAGTCAAGCAAGTTAGGTTAATGCATTGTCAGGATCAGTAAGGACTCGACGAGTTGCTATTTCATTTTCATTTATCAAATGATTTTTTCCTCCTACGCGTTTACGCTCCTTTTATTGTATCAAAACCTTTCGTCGACGGGAAAGTGGAATTTTTTTTTTTAATTTTTACGTTTTTAATTGAATATTAAGTAGTAAACTGTTTTCCATTATTTACTCTCGCTTAATTCTCTCTCTCTCAGAATAAATACATTTGGGCGATCAAGGTTGCTCAAAACCTCTTTTATATATGCCATTCCAACATACATGTTCTGAGCTGATATCTTGTGCAATAGCTCATTCTCATTTCCATTTTCTTTGATTTCCTGCACACTCTTGTCAACCAAGTCCCATTCAAAACTAATTCTTAAAAGGTTCATCAGCCTCCAATTCTCCAATTCATCTTTGGTTCAAAATAATTAAAGAAATGGGATCTCCAGAAAACAGAAGGGAGTAAACTTTTTTGCTTGCCTGATGAATGAGTAACTGTCACCTTTTGGTTATTCTCTTTGTGGTTTAAACTGTACTGGCATTTGTTGATGAAAAGGTTTTAGCTAGTGAGACTAAATTCCCAAATCTACCCACTATCAGTTAGTTAATCTGAGAGACTGTGATATGCTTTTGACAAAATAGTTATCTGTTCACTAATCATTAATCAATCATCACTGGTTTAAGTTCGTAGCAGGTTGGTTTTTTTTGCAATTTTGATTCCAATTTTTCTGCCCAAAAGAACTTTTAGAAAACCCTTTTTTCCCTAACTATTGTTTGGGTAGTTTTCAGGCCCAGTTTGCAAAATGAAAAGTACATAGAAAATGCCCATTTTGTAAACAACCAGAGTTCCTTTTAGCAAATTTCAGTTGAGCTTGGCAAATTTAGTTTTACATACGTCAAACCATTTCATGAAACTTCAGTCGCCACTTAGAATGTACAGTGGCGGAAATAAGTGTTCAAAAGCATATAATCTCATTACTTGAATATGAGTCAAGAAAAACACAAACAGAATGATATAATAATACTGGCAAAATTTACGTCAGGGGCACCAAAAGGCTGAGATGGGATGGAATCAGGCTGAAGTCATCGCTAGAAGTGAGGGAAAAAACGAACTTGCAGAGTCTGAAATGGAACCAAGCTAGAAAAAATGGACGCCTGCATCTTCAACTGATGTGATTGTAGCAGCGTCATCGAGAAGCCACTTCTCAAGCAAATATAACGGCATATCGGCCCCTGTACAATCCTGCCTGCTTTCGAGAGTAGCCTCGGGAGAAAAATCAGAATTCGAAGAGCAATCCAAAGACTCAAACCCGAGCAAGGAGTCAAAACTAGTGTCGAATAATTGAACAGTACTGTTTCCCTTCGATGCACTTGTTGTGGTGATTCCTTCGCTAGAAGCAGTATCGTGACCTGAACCAGAAGCTGAAGCAGCTAGGTTAGAACTTTGTGTGATTGCAGAGCTTGTTTTGGAAGCCTTTGGCGGATTTTTCATCCATCCTTTCAACAAACGAGCTATGTTTTCTGCACTTGAGGCATAGCTTAAGCGCTGGGTTGCTGGCTTAGAGGGATTTGATTCGGATAAGCAAGAAGGTGTCTGATCTGGAGATAGAGCCTCGCTGAGTGCTCTCTTGGCCATGTGGATGTCCGTTTGAAGTCTTCTTTCCCACTGGCCTCGGGGCATTGATTGTGAGGCTGATGACCCATCTCCGTAGTTGCCCTGGCCAACTGATGGTTGCAATTTCTTGAGCTTCTTCTTCAAATGGGTATTCCAATAGTTTTTTATGTCATTGTCGGTTCTCTGGGGAAGGTACGAGGCTATGGCTGCCCATCTGCACAACATAAAAATGAACTCCACGCTCTTAATATCCAAAGGGAATCTCCCAAAGTTAAAGATGACGACGGATTAATTAGTTAGTTACCTGTTGCCCAAAAGGGCTTGAAGATGGATTATCATCTTCTCCTCTTGGTCTGTAAAGTTACCACGTTTAATTCCTGGCTTAAGGTAATTAGTCCATCTAAGTCTGCAACTCTTACTGCATCGTGCAAGCCCTGAAAAATCCCCCAGCTAATTAAGTCAGATATCAACAGTACAGAAGAAGGGCCCTGAAAAGCCAGTCTAGAACAAGGAGAAAAAACAAAACCGAATGATATATGAACCTGTATTAGTGGGCACACCCCTCCAGTTGCCAGGACCATGTTCCTGGATATAAGAGACCAAAACGATATCTTCTTCGGGAGTCCAAGGTCCTTTCTTGACCCCTTCTTTATCACAACAAGGCGGTCTCCCCATCTCGGCTTGTTCCTTCGCACTGCAGCTTTTGTAAATATCTTCTGTGTGTTTCTTGTGCGCTGATGATGTTTAGTTTAACTTATTTTTGCCTCAGTACTTTGGTGTAGAGCAAGCTTAACTTCGGAGGGCAAGAGAAATGTGCATATATAGAAGAAGAGGGGGAGGTGAGAACGCTGACTTGAATGAGTAAAAATGGGAGATGAAGGGGCCAAAGAGTCAAAAGTTGACAGCAAGAGCATTAAAGTGAAGCAGCAAGCCGGGGAAGGCGAAGTCAACAGTGTAAAGACACTCTTGTGCATCTCAAAACCGCGTCTCGCATTCAATGTGGCTGCACTGCGAAACGTAACGTACCCCATTATATCTGCTTTTTTTTTTTTTGACCAGAAATTATATCTGCTTTTAAACTCCCTAAAACTCCACCACCCCATTAATGTTCAAGACATAAAAGCCGACATCACCTCAGCTCTCTCTCTCTCTCTCTCCCCCCTTTGCCTCAATCAATCAATTACCGGCCGGCCGGCTCGCTCGCTCTTCCTTATCTCTTGATCATATTAATAGTACCCTGGATGCACAGCATTGCATTATTGATAGTGACTGTAGCAGCCTTTATAAATTGGTTATGATATGATCATTCATTAAACCTTTCTTTCTAGGTAGAAAGTCTTAACTTGTTCTTCCATTTGGTGCTTCGCCGATCTCACTATTGTGGACAATTATTGAAGGAAGACAAGCAGGAAGCAGCGTCACCTCACACGTCTCTACCATCCAAAACAATTCGTAATAAATTCCATGAATGACATTCCGAGCTTGGAAGACAGCAAGACCCATGAACCCAGGCCGATCTTTGAACGGGTCTTTGAGCAGCATATTTATGGCCGAATCATCTTCAAAAGTGAAACTACGCTCACCACTGTGCAATATTTGACAATTCAAATATCTGATGCATATTGTAAAAGTAAACTTTCCCCCGTTACTATATAGTACTACCTCTGTTATTAATTGTAAGAGTCAGTTGATTAATTTGAGGAGATTAAAGAGGTAAGTTGAGTAAGTTATTTGTCTTAAATAGATGTTGTTTTTCCTAAAATATCCTTACTAATCAAGTGTATTGACTAGAACTATCATTGTTATAAAAGCTACTTTGAAAAAAAAAATATAAATATAAGAGACAAAGTGAATTGGGGGCTTATATTTAGGACAAAAATAAAATTCAAACAGGGTTTTATATTAAGTACCGAGATAGTAGAATTTAAATGAGACTTCATAATCTATAGATAGTAGATAGCGTGCTCTATTATAGATATTTTTTTTTAATATTAACCGAATTATCTTTTTTACGGATAAGTCGAAACTATATACAATTTATGTAAATAAGAACCAATTAACTAATTTGACGAGATTAAAGAGGTAAGTTGAGTTAGTTATTTGTCTTAAATAGGTGTTGTCTTTCCTAAAATATCCTTGCTAATCAAGTGTATTGACTAGAACTATCATTGTTAGAAGGACTACTTTGGAAAAAAAAATATAAATATGAGAGACAAAGTGGATTGGGGGTTTATATTTAGGATCAAAATAAAAGTCAAATAGGGTCTTATATTAAGGACAGGAGGTAGTAGAATTTAAATGAGACTTCATAATCTATAGATAGTAGATAGCGTGCTCTATTATAGATTTTTTTTTAATATTAACTGAATTATCTTTTTTACGGATAAATCGAAACTATATACAATTTATGCAATTTATATAACTCAAGAAAAGCTTCTTTCCAACATATGTTTCTCCAGAAAATGACCAAATTTAATCATATTTGCCGTTGTCCAAACGCCTGAACGAGCAAGTTATTCTAGAAGTTCCGAATATACAGATTTGACGTCGTTTAAAAGTCTTGAAGTCGGTTCTAATATTCTTTCACTATATGTTTCTAAATTCTAATAAACCAGAATATCAGTACCCCGGCCGGTCCATATGACCTATTCTAAGTCGGTACAAACGCAAATTTGAAGATACGGGCAATTTTGATGTTGAAGAGGAGTCGCCGTTTGTTTTCAAGTTCCAAACTTTGAATATCAAACTTTGGAACCATGCAAAAAAGAAATCAACGAAAGCGCATAAGGTATGATTTTGGTCGAGACAAATGCTAACATAAAGCAAGCACCGACGAATATCAGTTCAATTTCAGCCACTTGTATATCAAACGAGGAATTAGAGGTTTCAACTGGGACAGATAAAGGAACCATACATGTGTTTTATTCTCGTTGGGCGGCAAACAATCAGCTGAGATGGGGTTCGATTCGCCTTCTGCACTCCCTTCCTTCCCATCGTGGCGAGTAGCCATGGAACGAGGAAGGAGAGAGAGAAAAAATATTTTTTTAATTGTATTTATAGGATAGAAGAAAATTTTTATATTGACGCATAATTTTACCTTTTATTTGTTATTATATTATTATTTTTTAATAAGATATAATGTATATTAAATAGGAATAAAATTAAAAAATTATTGAATTTTAAATGGGAGTTAACGAAATTTGAGGTTTTTCTTGGCTTATAAGAAATATGTTGTAAGTAATTTATAAATAAAACTAGAGGTGTATTACTTAAGCTTACTAGAGAGTTTAAAATGCCGTAATAGGCACTATAATTGGAATACTCATGAGTTTTTTAATGATTAAGCTTATCTATTATTCGAGGTTTCATAAACCAATATGGTTCCATGGCAAGCTTTTTTTTATTTAAAATCACTAGCATCATTTTGGTACGAGGGCCAATGGCAAGCTTATCTTTTATGAAGATATTTGCATATGGGGATAACAGCTCACATGGCTCTCTCTCGCACCAGGGTCAACTTTCCAAGCCTTTTGAAACATACTTGGTCTACTTGTCTGACCTTTTTTCCCCCCTGTTATTTGGCTTCGACACGACTTTGTTATATGGAACCTTCGATCTTTAATATAAAGACCATTTGACTAATTTAAGTAAATTAAAAAAACTAATTAAGTCAATTATTTGTAATAAATAGGTATTGTCTTTCATTAAATATCCTTATTAATCAAGTGTATTAATTAGAACTATTATTATTTCAATGACTGCTTTGAAAATAAATAAATAAATATGAGAAAAAAATAGATTAAAATCTTATATTTAAAATTATATTTATAATCAAACCATTGACCTCGCTCCCCAGGTCCAACAAAAAGCTTTTGGCTGTGTCTTTCCAACGTGATTGCCCTGCCCATGCCAGTGTGAAGAAGACTTGTGCTCTGAAACTTAATTACCAGGTTGTGGAGGTTGACTTTTGTGAGTGGCGATTGGTGTCGATCGCCATCTCTCCCTCTCAAGTCTCAAACAGTTGGAAGATCATCCTTCCTTTCTGGTATGAACATAAACTCGAAACTAAAGAACGTGATATGCACGGCCAAAGCAAATCAAGCCTGACCGATTCAATGGAGAAAAATAACCGTGATGAAAAGAGAAGGTTTGAAAATAGGAGGCAAGCGATCTGACCTGAGAATATGTCCTGGTGAGCTCTCAATCCAATTCACTTGAACCTTTTTTTTTTGGGTACAAAAAATGGTTTGAACTGTTAGTCAAACAACGTCCCTCCTTCGTTCCATGGCTACTGGCTACAATGGGAAGGAAGTCATTAGGAGTGTTTGTGCCTCTAGTATCCTATTCTCTTAATTGTTTTTATTCAATTCTACACAAAATGAAATATATAGTGGTGAAATGGTTTTTTTTTTGTATTTTTGAAAATCCTTAAATTGTGTACGCTTAATTTATTTTTTCTTGAAATAATGTGAAAAAACCGCAAAGCTTCACTGTTTTATGGTCATGATATATCAAGTTTTTTATTTTATGGAAAAGAAAATTATCAAAAATCAAAACCAGAGCAGTAAGGTATTAAGAACAGCAAGGAGGGTAGAGGATGATTTTGTGCCCCGTTGCCCTCAAGCTTCAGGGACCACAACTCCAGCCTCCATACCGGGCAATTTAACCATCCCTGGTGATCCACCCTTGCTCGACTCGGGGTAGCCAATCCACTTTGTGCCAAGTGGCCTATGGTTCCCGGTTTGTGGGCCATCACTTTACTTTTATAATAATGATATTCTCTGTCCTTAATATAAGACTCATTTAACTAATTTGATTAGATTAAGGAAGTTAGATAAGTTAGTTAATTATAAGAAATGTGACATGTTTTCTTAAAACACCATAATCATCTTTCTTACTACCCCTCTGACTCTTCTACTTGATTATGGTTGAAAGAGTATCCATAGGGGTAATTTAGAAAAATTGATAAATATGAAATGGGTCTTATATTAAGGATTGGAGGAGTAGTATATAAAAGTAAAATAATCATAAATGAATAATTCTTTTTATAATGAAATATCTACATTTCAAATTATTAAAAAATGCAAGTAAAACTGTCCATCCATTGATATCCCTATTATTCATTTTTTATTTTTCAAAAAAATTAATTTATCACATTTTTTTAAATTAAAATAGGTCCTATGCGACAATCATTAATCAACATTAAGTTATCACGATTATAAACATATTCATATTTATCCCCCATATATTATAAGAAATATTAAATATTTATTTTAATTATAAAATTATTTGAATTTTATTATAATTTTATAAATTATATTTAAAAAGTGATTAATAAAAATAATGCCAGTTTTTGAAAATATAATATTTACATTCCTATTTGGATTGGCTTGCTAATGCCTTGCAGTAGTTGGGCTCGGATCCAATGGATTGATATCAGGTGTGGCCCAAATAACGTGGATCATCTCAAGGCGAAGCTCAAAGCCATCAGATCTAGGGTTTCCTCCGCCCTTCAAAGCACTGCTTTTAACACATCCGGCGCTCATCCTCATTCGCTTTCGACTCTATTCGAAGCTCCCTGGCAAACAAAAAGGAGTAGCTCTTGATCACTGCAAAATGGTTCAGCGGCTCACATATCGTAAGCGTCACAGCTACGCCACTAAATCCAATCAACACAGGGTCGTCAAAACCCCTGGTATGAATTCCTTCTCCACATGCTTTGGCTTTACCTTTTTATTATACAATGCTTTTTGGCCCAATTCTTCTGGTCATTATTTCAATCTTTTCAGTTTCTTGATCAATGCGTCTGTGTTTCTTGATAACTTGTACAAAATGCTAGCCTTGTAAAGTGGTTCATGACTTGTTGAATTGTATTTTTAACGATATATGCTTTCTGGTCTTGACTCTTGATAATTTTTTCAGGTGGCAAGTTGGTGTATCAGACTACAAAGAAGAGAGCGAGCGGACCCAAGTGCCCTGTTACTGGGAAGAGGATCCAAGGGGTACGTATGCCTTCTGAATTTCATGAGTATCTGCTGTTTGTATAGTTTATTTGGCGCTTGAATAGAAAATGATAACATGCTTTGAACTAATAGAAATTAGACTGAACATTGCGTCGTTGGCAATTCAATTTTGTTTTTCGCGTTTGCTCTTGATGATTGGTAGGGCACAAGTAAAATGTTCACTAAGTCATACAAAATTATCAGAGTCTAAAATGGAGATGCTCCCTTGACCGGATTGCTTATATAAGTAGTATGCATGTACAGACGTCGGAGCTTGATAAAAATATCTGATATCCTCATATTCGGGAATGACAAGTTTTTCCAATAAAAATATAAGATCTATCCACTGTATCCATATTTTCTCGACTGCTGGTGTTTCCTTCCACCTCTATGCTGTCTGTTTGCTGGATTTTGTTCTTGCCTAATAAATTACTTTCATTCAGGTGATCTGTCTTACTTAGTCAGTTCATCTCTAGCATGTATTTATGGTTAAGGAGTGTGAGAATTGTGTCCTGGGTTTTATCTTAATTCAATGAGACAAAAGTAAAGGTTTTGGTGTGGAAGGGATGAGGCCAGCGCCCCGATACGTGGTACACCTGCTGAGCTGAAGACTGATGGTTTTCGGTTGTCACAAATGACTGATTTTTGGCTTTTAATGTTTCCGGGCTCATGACAGATGACACTGCTTGGCCACTTAGGTTATGAGAGACTAACTACTGGAGTGTCATGAATGCATGAGATGAGAAATATGTTGTGCAATGGCCCAACTGCATGTTTTCTTTTAGCTTCCATCCTCCTCTTGCCTGTTTTCCCTTGAAATAATTGTTTGCCTCTCCATTCTTCTTGTATTCTCTTCTCTGTTTAGTCCATCATTGCATGGTCTGAGTTGCCTTGTAACTGTATTGAAGATCTTGAACCAAAATTTCGTTTCCTTCTTTCCTTTTAAGCTCAATTCTATATTTCGTATTGTTGTTCTGATCTAAATTGAACCTGCAGATTCCGCACTTGAGACCTGCTGAATACAAGAGGTCTAGATTGTCTAGGAACCGTCGGACAGTTAACCGGGCTTATGGAGGTGTATTATCTGGAGGTGCTGTGAGAGAGAGGTATGTTGCTAACAAAATGATTAATTTACACTTTATTAAAGTTGTCACGAGCAAAGTAACTGAATAGGGCTATGTAACCTCTGTATAGGATAATCCGGGCTTTCTTGGTTGAAGAGCAAAAGATTGTGAAAAAGGTATTGAAGATCCAGAAGGCAAAAGAAAAGCAAGCATCAAGGGGTTGAATTATTGGTTCATTGCGTCATCGTTGAAGTTAACTCCTCCTGTTAAAATATGTTGTTGAGAAATTTTGACTTTGTTGTCAATTATGAATGTGGAACTTAATTTGGATTTATATTCTATGCTTGCTTGTTTCATAGTTTAATCTGTTAGTATACATTTTGACTGCTGCAATGCATTTTAAGTTCTCTACGAGCGACTCCTACCTGTTAGTTCCTTTTGAAAAAGCTTATGTTAATAACTCAGTCATGAAGGTTATCAGGGCTTGAAATGATTATTAATTCAATCATTTTTAGATTAATGATTCTTTAACTTGGTAAAGGAATGTTAGTTTCAATTCATTGGGAGGTGGTGGAACCCCCCAGCTTATGGTTTTAAATTACGACGAGTGCCAGTAATCAAACAAAAATAAAGATTTGCAACAGAAATAAAGAACAACAAATAAAACGGTATGGCATCCAACGAGTTTCCCGACAGCAAGGAGAGGAAGTTTCGCTGAAAGAGGCGAGCTATTATGCACGTTGATTCTTTGTTGCTGGCTTATTTGTAAACATGGCGGGTGACCCGTGTTATTACATCGAAGTGTCATCACTCTGAGCAGATCGTATAGTCTAGACATGGAGGAATAGGAGTCAATCAATCGCCGTGATGATAAGGCTGACCGTCTGGTCAAATTATGGCAATTTCTCTTATCCTCTTAACTGATTGACTGATCGAGGCGTGCAGCGGAAGCCACCCTTTATGCAAGACTGTGACCCCCTTTTGGGGTTTCCTTCCCTTTATTATATAAAAAACCCTCTTTTTTTTTTTTTGTGAATAAAGACGAAGAAACAAGGGTACAAAAAAGCCCTACAAGCAAAAGAGACAAACCAGACCTATTTATATAAAAAAACCCTGTGTGTGTATTTTCAACCACGTCGGAAGAATGCACAGCACTTGTAACATCAACTGCTAATCTGCAATGTCCGGCTTATTTGGTAAATCTTGGTGCGCAGAAGAAGGCTGATATAAGTTGACAATTCGAAATTACTCTTCAAGAGTTGATGTGGTATACAAGTGTGAAGATTGAAAATCAAGTCATAAGAACAATATTGTTACTTAAATATCGTGAAAATTATTTGTAGATATTGGACTAGGATTTTAGAACTGGATCATAGAATCTCACAGCTGCATTAGTTGTCTTGTGGTCATCGTTAACAAATGTTGAGGGTGAAGAGCCCAATATTTCCATTCCTTGCAGGTAATTATCCACCGAGTCAGCGACAAAATTCTATACGCATTGTTAGTCTTGGTAAAATCATTTCAGCCTCTTCTTATTCTTCTTCGTTTTGTAATAATGATTATTTTTCCGACGTGGTGATTTGAAGGAGGTAGTAGTAATATGAAATGGGGAAATTCTAACGGAGACAAAGATGGGTATTGGCTTACTCCAGCCGAACTCTGTTGCTATTGTTCATTACAAGGCAGAAGGTGGTGTTCATTAGCATATCATAAGAATGGGATTCGAACATTGCACACAAAGGCAAAAGTGAATGTCAAGAATGGGATTCGAACCCATGCCCTTTCGGACCAGTACCTGAAACTGGCGCCTTAGACCAACTCGGCCATCTTGACGGCGATGCGAGTGCTCCAAACAGAAACTTGGTCTAATTTAAAAAAGTCGTATTCATGTCGACAACCTATTCTGCGCGCCAATCCTTTGCACGTATGGCTACTTTTTGGTCAAAAGCAGCTATTCAACTTCCATAGTAGCTACCGTAGGAGAGCAGGGGGCGGAGTTGTCATTTGAATTGACACCGATACTCCCACGCATGTGTTTTGAAACAGACACCCTTCATTCTCTTGCATTCATCCAGCTTTCTGCATATATTGCTTCTGATTCTAATTAGTCGGAATCAAACTTTCTGTATATATATTTTTTTGATTCTTAATATAAGACTTAATTATTAAGTTAATTTTAATTTTAAATATAAGACCTATTTATCATACTTATCAATTTTTTAAATTATCTCTATGGATATTCCTCCAATCATAATTAAGTAAATAAGAGAGGGGAGATATTAAAAAATAATTATGGTGTTTTAGAAAAACATATCATATTTCTTATAATTAACTAACTTATCTAAATTTTTTAATCTAATCAAATTAATTAAATAAGCTTTATATTAAGGATCAGAAGATATATATATATCCCAAGCCAAGCCAAGCCAAGCCATCACATCCCTTTTGCTTCATAAACAGCACCGTGAGCCTTAGCTTCCCTCCTCGGCCCCACTTTCCTTATACCTCCTTGCTCAAAGCCAGGTGGGCCCTCTGCTTGATCCACTCCCTCGTCTTGCACGCAATCATAATTACTAGATATAATAATGACCCTTTTGTCACCAAAAAAAAAAAAAAAAAATAATGACCCTTTCACAACGTCCATTCTATTTTAATTTACTACCAAGCACAAATCAATTTGGTATATGCTACTGTTACATACATATATTAATTAAGATACACGTGATGTGGGGATAATGTTATTTCCCCACTTTTTCTAATTTATTTCGACGCAAATCAGGTCTCTAATTTCCACGTGTTCATGTCTTGTATCCCCTATTACAGCGGCAGCTTCATTTTTTCTGATATGAATAATAACCCAAACTTGTCTGCATACTCCTGCTTGCCGTCCTTTTTTTTTTTTGTGGTAATTATCGGCATTAACTCTTTCAATCATCTGTTCCTGAGTTTGAAAGATTCCAATTATTTTCCTCGTCATTTTCTAAGAACCTTGTCCTTTATTTTCTTGTTTTCTCTCATCCTATTAAGAAGTGCTCCATCTTCTCCCATGGAACGTTTTCTGTATATTTTCTAGTCCTAGATGGCCGAGAAGACATACTGACATAATAATAATGCATATGATTTGGTAGAAAACTATGCTCGTTCACAGATAATATATATATATATATATAAGGAGAGCTGTGAGAGAGCAGAAATGTTAAAGGAAAAGAGGCCTTGAAAAGAATTCAGATATCATCTATGTATGTATGTATGTATCAAATATATACAGGTATAGCACACAAGAAGCATCTGATACGAGAGACATAACGATAAAAGCTAAAAGGCAAGCGATCCTGGTTTGTACAATCTGTAGATATTTTCCGTGTTCCGCGGTGGCCGGTAGTGGCATTTGATTTTTTTTTAAAGGAAAAATAACAACGCTATACTTTTACTAGTAAGATCAGAACCAGATGGTAATGATTTTACTGGTAAATATGCTACTTCAGAACATAACAAGGACTAGGAACTAGGCTGCCTATTGCTTTGACCACCCTGGAACAAACACGTTTTTTCAAGTGCAGCATCTATTAGTAGACATGTCGCTAGGACAAGGTGGTGATTCCCATGGGAGAGTAGGTTTCCAAGCATCGTCTGAAACTGGAGGCAAGCTGAAGGGAAACCCAATAGTTTCTGCTACGGTCGATGTAGTCATGTTTACTCCTTCTACGTCTTGATGAGGCGTATTCACCACAGAGACGCCGCTAAACATATTGTTTGGCCCTTCAAAACCTACATAGGCACAAGGGCCTGATGATTCGAAGGTGGAGAACATGAAGGTGTCTGCTACGTCACCGTTCGAGACAGGGATCTGAGGGGCCTTATTCAAGATCACTGTGCTATTGTTGATGGCAACATCTGAACCGGAGAAATTAGCACTAGACACCTGATCGTATAATTCTTGCCTGTTTCCTGACGCTGATCCTATTTCTGTGGTGCAAGACAAGTTCTCTGAACTCAAGTGATTCCGGTTTGCACTCTGAGCGAGGAGCATATCAGATACCAAGCTCTCTGGAAACTGAGCCATCCAAGTGTGAGATAGAGCTTTCTGTGCCATGGACATGGAGTTTGTTTTCTTGAATATCCTACAAATCGCCCATGAATCCTGGAGAAAGGCACGTAATATACTTGGTAAAATAACAGCACATGACAAATGGATGAGCATAAGGTTAGGGAAAGTATATATACACCTGTGGAGAGAGGGTTTTGTCAAAGGGCTTTTTGGGCTGAGGAGGTGAATCTGGGGGAGAAGGGAGGCGAAACTCATGCATCATCCAATCGGTCTTAACGCCTTTGGCGGCTCTGCCTCTGTAGAACACAAGAGATTTCTTCAAGCCGATGCGTTTTCCTTCTGATGATGAGTATATAGGCCTGTCTGTTCCAGTGGCTTTCCAAAACCCAGCTCTCGTCACTCTATTTGGCCGCGGACTGTTCCTGTATTTCCGATCCCTTGGACAGTAGAAATACCACTCTTTCTCCCCAGTGCTTGCCAGCTCTTCAACAGGTAAGAAGAAGGGATTAAATCCATCGTGTTAAGCTAAAGCAAATTGATAAAAAAAAAAAATGCAAATATCAACGTCTTTTATTAGAGTTCTTACTTGGAAGATCCCAAGGATCATATTTGTAAATATCCACTTGCTTGATGAGCTCAATAGGGAGAGATTTCTGCTGAATCTTTCTTCTGAGGTAAAAATCAACAAGCTCCTCATCCGTGGGGTGAAACCTAAAACCGGGTAACATTGTATCATCGTTCATCTTATCCATCTCATTCCTCGCCTCCATCTCCTTGTTTTGTCTCAGTCTTCCCCCCTCTGAATCTCTTCTTCTTCAAGAGACTTCAAACTATTCTAAACCCCTCTGGTCTCTGTAAGAGAACTGACGGTAATAAGCAAAATCAAATTTATCACAGCTTATATATATGAAAACACAAGTAGTATCTAGTAATTAGAAAATTATGGAAAACCACACTAGACTCGTGAAGTTTCAACTCTCAAAAATCATAATTAATTGCAGCTGTTAAGCGGTTTCGAATTGTATGGAACTCACTGTGTGTACAAATTTACTTGGGCCGATATAATATTATGCGTCCCGAGGAGGGGTCTGCCTCCGAAGCTTGAGCCGCTGATTCAGGATGACTCGAATGGGGATCTAGAGTGTTCAGACGAAAAGCACGATGACTTTGGTGGCGAGAAGTGAGAATTAAGAAGCTGTGCTTCAGCCCCTTAACGAACAGTTACTTAAGAACCAAGAAGTCACGGAGTCAAGCGAAGTGCCATTTGAATGGAGTTCTCACCACCCCACGTTGTGCTCAATATGTGTGTTTACTAAAACGCCAAGACTAGACTCATAAGAGACTGCAGAATCAGTAGTTTTGTGGGGTTTTTTTTTTTTTAATGCTGATTATTTATGATTCTGATCTATCTTCCTTCACACTTGCTGATGACGATCTGCTTTTGTCTTCAACAAATAAATGGCAATCACAAGATGACAAGGCAAGCTTCCAACGTAATCGTTATTTTATTGTTAACCCCAATGAAAAAGAAATTGCAAATTGAATTGATCGCCATCTCCCTCTCTATTCCTTCCGGTTCAAAATACAAACTAAACTTTATCTATTTGTATTTATCAAGAAACTAATTACAATCAATTTAAAACAATAAACGTAGAAGGCATATATTTATTTTTTCCTAATATACCCTTATTAATAAAGAAAATAAGTAAAAAAATGTAATAAATAAAATTTTTAAAAAAGAGAATATATGAGAGTAAAATTGAAAAAAAAACTCATTAAATATTTGGACAAAATAAATATTATCTTATAAAAAAATAACTTTTTTAAAAATTTTAGTTTATATTTTGAATCAGAGAGAGTGTATAATAAACTTAAAGTAGCATTCAATACTTCTCCAGAGGGCCCAGTTGTGAAAATTTATAACATTTAAGTAATCTCCCCGTGTCCAAAATTACTGTCTTTCTTCCATTCTGTCCATGCTCCTTGACAAATAAGGACAGGGAGGCTTCCATCAATATTGAAATTTTAAAATATTCTCAAGGTTAATGAATTCTGGAAGGATTGTGAGGTAATACCATTAGTTTAGCTTGACCTGCTTATAAACAGTGTGTTTTAGTAAACAACCATTTGACGCTGTAAATAAATCTATCAATCCATACCCAGCCCCAATTTCCCGTTGTAATTTTTTTTTTCAAGATTTTTTCAACTTATTATTTCCCTTACAACTGGCTAAAATATTGATTGGCTTGTTTTTTTAGTGGTGATAAAAAAAATTAACTCAAGCAAGTAATTCTCTCAAACAGCATATTGAATTATTTGGTGTCAAAAATATGCAGTTCTCTATTAGCTGCCATCTGATCCCCCATCGCCCCCGTTGATTGTTGCCCATTATTTCTCAGGTACGGTTATGCTAAGCTTTACAAGGATATCGTTTGTAAGTTGTCATTATTATTAAAAAAAAAGCACTTTATGGCAGTTAATATAAGCTTTTTATGGTGGTTTTAAGTATAACGTTTGTGCTATTGATGTAAAAAATAGTAGATTTCACAGGATTTAGTAACAGCCATGATATGTGACTTTTCATGTATAAATAGGTGTCGTGAAAAGTTTATTTATTATTTACTGAATTCTCCTCTTTCTTGCTCCGCTTGAAATCTAAAACCCTTCACTACTAATAGAACATTGAAGCCTTCAACCATCATATTGAAACCACTAAAATTTGATGACGGCAAAATTGAACACCCAAATCTAATAAAACTCATAAATTTCAGACTGTCAAACTCAAATTTACAAAATGAGAGCAAGAAAAATTAGATCTATTTAAATTTTTATGTATCAAAGTATGCTTAAATAAGCAGACTAATAAAAAAATAGATTTATTCAAACTCGAAACAAATAGCATGTTTTTTAACCAAAAAAAAAAACTACCTACATGGTTTCAAATAACCAAATCATAAAAACTATAAAACTCATGAAAAGAATGTAAAAGAAAAGGAAAAAAACTCACAAATAAGGGTGAAGAAGATGATACAACAGCGACGATGAAAGAATATGACAAGGATGACAAAAGCAAGAAAAAATGTCGGCAAAGGTGTGAGGAAGGAGAAAATTAAGTAAGGACAACAATAAGGCACCATGAGATTTGATTGTGAAAAGTAAAAAACTATAGCTCAATGGAAAGTGTTTTAAAATTCTAATAGACTTAAAGTAGTTTTTTTAAAAAACCGTCATAAAAAATATTTTTCACGGTGGGTTTCTAAATAATTGTCACGAAAAATAAAATATATTTTTATATAATTACAAAAATACCAATGTTATTCTTTTCTACAGCCTTTTATCTAATAATTACCGTAAATTAACATTATAAAAAATCCTTTTGGTGGTACCGTGTAACAACACAATTTCAAGTAACAAATGAGATGAATGAATCCGTGACACTTCCCCCCCCCCCCTCTCCTTTCAAACAAGACATAATAATCCTGCAAGTGATAGCTATAACTGGAAATCAACTCAAGAGCCCCAGAACAAGAACCTACTTATAACATTGAAGGTTAATATAATTTTTAATTTCTAAAATCTGAGTCTATTTTGCTTTTAATTCCTCAAATATCAAACATATGGTTTTAGTTTTTGAAATTTGGTCAGTCTTAAAACGTTAGTTTCTGAAAGTTTAATGGATTTAAAATCTACTGAAATATCATAAATAACGTTAGATGATATGAACTTAGTAAATGACATCTAACTGAATTTTGTGTAAATAAGAGATAAAAAAAAAGAAACATATCCTCAAAATGCAGTTGTTTATCCTCTATTTTTCTTCCTCATTGTTGGTTCAGGAAGTTGTTTACATTTTGAGAATTCATCCCCATTTTATTATCCACATAAGAGTCAGTTAAGTGCAATATGATAAGTTGACATCATCACTTTAATATTATTTATAAGACTTTAGCATATTTTAACACCGCTATATTTTCAAGAACTAACTTTTTAAGAGAAATTAAATTTTAGGAATTAAAATCATGTGTTTGAAATTTAAAGGATTAAAATCAAAATGAACCCAATTTTGAAGGATAACAAAAATCATATTAACCCTAATATTTACTATCCATGTTTAACTAAAAATAAAACCAACTAAATCTTTCACCCGACAGTAATTTTATTAGATGATGATCACTATTTTAAATCCAAAAATAATTTTTAAAGTAAATGAATCCCGACATGATTAATTTGATTTGATAGGACGTATCGCCGTATAGGTAATTGGGCAGTATAGGCTTCGAATAATTTTAGCTTGAGTCAAGTTAAATTACACGAATCTGAATCCACTACAAAAAAATATGTCAATTGTAGCGGTTAGAGTGACACATTTCTAGCGGTTTTAACCGCAACAAATAACATTTGTAGCGGTTAACAAAACCGCTAGAAAACCAGGCGCAAGAAAAAATTTCTAGCGGTTATGGCAACCGCTACACATCATGGTCAAAACGCTAGAAACTTTCTAGCGGTTTTTAACCGCTAGAAAATGTCTACAGGAAAAAAATTTCTAGCGATTATAAAACCGCTAGAAAATGTTCCACGGAATAAAATTTATAGCGGTTTTATAACCGCTAGAAACATGCTAAACCAAATCTATTTTGCCAGGAATTAAATAATTTCAGTAGCGCGCCGAAATTTCTAGCGGTTATAAAACCGCTAGAAATGTTTGGGAAATTAAATTTTCCCGCCAATTAAATTTTTGGAATGGCGGCAAAAAAGGTTTCTAGCGGTTTGAACCGCTAGAAATTTTGGCGCAAAATTTAAATTTGACGAAATATTTCTAGCGGTTTGGAACCGCTAGAAATGTTTACCGTGCCAGAAAAAAAAATTTATGGTTTTTCATATTATAATTTTAAAAACCATTAAATAAATTATGTTGAAGAATTTTTGTTAATTTGTATAATTAGTTATATGTTACATTTTATATATTTAAATTTTGTAATAAACAATATGTAATTAAATTATGAATGTGTCAAAAGAAGTGAATTTAATTTAATAAGATAATTTAATTGAATATTTAATAAGATAGTTGAATTGAAGATGATATATTTTGTAATATTGAACCTATAGTGTTAGGTTGAGGAGTATTTGAATCAGTTGAGGAGGGCATGACAAGTGTGGAGAAGAAAAATCTGAAAGAAAAGGAGAAATAAATATGTTAGTAAATTTTAAATAAAAACAAATAAAAGATACAATGAATTATAAAATAAAATTCACTTACCATACAGTAAAGAGAAAGAAACCACCATATGAGATAGTAAGAAAAAAAGAGAGAATTATGAAGAAGAATAGGAGAGGAAAGAAAAGAGATGGAGTAAATGAATGTAGAGAAGATATGGTATTTATAGAGATCAGCGACACATTTGTAGCGGTGTTTTTGTAGTGTTTTATTGCATTTTGTAGCTGTTATTCATTTTCTAACGTATACATAACCGCTAGTATTTGTAGCGGTTATTAACCGCTACAAATTTAATTTTTTTATTTTTAAAAATCTGAACAAAATGTATTTTTTAATAACCGCTACAAATTATAATTTTGTATAATAAATTTGTAGCGGTTATGTAACCGCTACAAATTAAATTTTTTTATTTTTAAAAAACTGTACGAATTTTAATTTATACATATGTATTTATGGACGGAAAATTTTTTTAATAATTTATTTTGGATGCTGCTATTCTCCATCATCACCCGGCCTGAAAGGACACATTTTAAAAAAATTTGTTAAATTTATAAT